GCTTGGCTTCACGATGGAGAAGAAGAATGAAGAAGAAGAGAAGTATGGAAACTTTGGTTCTCTCCAATAGCTTCCACGTGTATAAAATATCCTCAACTAATATTTAATTATTTCCCTTATTAAAATACTCATTTACCCCTTTAGTTCCTTCTTCTTTGTTAATTGATCATACACAAAACATTTCAATTAATTCTTTGAACTTTTCAATTTATCCAATTTGGTCACTAAATTTTTAAATCTCATAATTTAATCACTAACCCGGTATGGAGGATGTTACAAATCATATTATACATTAATCAAGCAATATACACAAATCATGTAATCCATTTTATATAACATGTCACACAAATACATATCACATACAGTGTATTTATTTTATGTCTCTATTAGCCCATGTATACTTTTGAAAACTAAAGATATGTGATTACATAAAGTTTGTGCACATATACTGTCACCACAGCTCGTATAATTCCCACTAAGGGCACATAGGATTTATCCCGAAAGACCGCGTAGAAATGTCCCGAATGACTACATAGATGTCTCGAATGACCACATATAACACATATGTCCCGAAGGACCACTCCTTAAGGACCACATACATATTTAAATGGATCAAATAGGTGTACCGAAGTATCACATATATATTCCAAAGGATTACATATATGTCCCGAAGGACCACGTAGAACCCTCGACTCTTGGCATGCCAACTATACCGCTAGCTCTCATAACAAATGACATGGGCATTATCTTTTATGTTTATCACATATACATATTCATATCACACAGTCATATAAGTTCATAGTTTCATATCACATATATCATGTAACATTCTCGTAGAGTCTCATATCCCATTATTACATATATGTTATCTCACATTTTCTTGTATTCATATAGACATGTAATCACATATATCACTTTCACATACCTGTTTTTTCATATATCTTATTTCTTATGATCACATAACTTATTATCACACGTAGCTCATGGTCACATGATTTATCACTCATACATGCATTCACATAGTTCACATATAAAGATGTACTCAATATCTAGACATATGCACTTACGTATATACATCTAGCACTATATCACTACATGTTTATGTTCTGATACTCATATAACCTAATATCATAATTAGACTCATTACAAGTCTTAATTCCCTAACATAACTTACGCTGAATATCTTGTACTCCCCTTGGTCTCACTTGACAATACCAATATCTTGTTTCTCTCTCGAATCTTACTCTGACGGCCTATTCGAACTTTGCTTTAGATCAATATCTACATGAATATACAATCCAATGAATATCGGAATTCATAATACTATAAAAGATTTATACCAATGCAATTAAATAAAACACTAATTTCAATTTCCCAACTCAAGTAGTATCGGTACTACAAGCACATGACTGATACTTCTATGCTAGTAGTATCGATACCCTTCTACGGTATCGATACCCGTTTTTTATTCTATAATTTCCTTTAAAGAATGGTACGAATACCTACCAATTTGTATCGATACCCATGGTATCGATACTCTTTCTTCAGTATCAATACCTCATGAAGATTTATCACTCTTCTTCCTTATGGTATCGATACTGTTCATGCAGTATTGATACCCTATGCATAATTTTCTCATAAATTGTCTTGTAGTATCGGTACTAACTCAACCAGTATCAATACTACTACCCAAAATATATTTCCTTAAACCCGAAAATTCCAACACTTTACCTCAATCTCTACTTATTTGATTTTCTCCATGCCTTTAAACTCAACTATATATATTTAAACCCTCTTTTACCACTATAACACTTCATTATATTCAATATCTCACTATAACTCTTGAATTAAAGAATTTCTCTAAACTTTCAATGTGTTCCAAATTCATTTCTAATGCTTTAAACTTCTTAATCCTTCTTATGATAAGTCAAATTTATCACTAAAACTTCAAAATCCTCATCATACCAATAATTCATTTCTACACCCTTATAATAATCCCTTTTCTAATTATCTCTTCTTATTGTTTTGGTCTTATATAAGCTTTCCTCAAGCTTATATAATACCCAAAGAATAAAACCCAACTTAAAAATCTAAGAATTAAACAGCTAATATTAAACTCATCTTTACAATGAAGCTTACGAGAAGAAGAAGAAAGCAAGAGTAAAAGGCTTCTAGAAATCTCTCCCAAAAACCATTGTGTTTATCTCTTAATAAAGGAAACAAAATATCCTTTAAGCTAAAAAGACCATAATATCCTTCACTCTTTCCATATTTACTATTTAATCCAATACCACAATATTCATATTTAAGTCCTTAAACTTTCAATTTTTCTTAAATTGGTCACTAAATTTTAAAAACTTTCATTTCAGTCACTAGTCCAATTTTTGGGGTGTTACATGGTAAGTATCGAAATTTAAAGTCAAAGTTTCGATACCTAAGTTTCAATACTTGTCGTGAAATATATTCAACTTGGGAAGATAAAACACTCGTAAGAATTTAGGTTGAAATCTGAAATGTTACTAGCATCAACCTAAAATGTTATATGCTTGGTAACATTTAAGGTTGTAAACCTAAATACCATCAATATTAAATTGGAATTAATTTAGAAATTTAGATAACATTTTAGGTTACAACAAATTTTTTTTACCAATTTTAAATTGGTATGAGTAACATTTTAAGTTGATAATTGATAATAAAACACATCTAATTACTAACAAAAAAATATTAGAAAAATTACAAAATCGATAACATTTTCATTATATCAACTTAAAAAATTACATCACTGGCCAATTTGGGAATGCTTCTAGCAATGGAAAAACGATTTTTCTACTCTCTAAGTAATGTTAAACACTCAAATATTGATTTAAAATCATGGTTGGATAAATGATTTTAATCTAACCTAAACTCAAATTTGTAGCTTTTATTGTGGAAAATCACTTTTGAGTGAAATTATATTTTTATGCTCAAATACTGTATTTTCAATTTATAACATAATGTCTAAAATGACCATTTTATCTTTTTAAAATCATTTTTAACGATAACCTAAACAATTAAATTTTAAATTATACTTTTCAAAAATATTATTTTCTAGAGCTGTTAATTTTATTAAAAATAAAAAATATCCAAATTAAAATAAAGTTTTACAACCACAAACGTAAAGTAAACATATAATAAATATATTTTACTAAATCCAAGAAAACTAGTCACTTAACATCATATAAGGACCGAAAAAAGTTAAAAAAAATCTAACCAAATAAACTCAAACAAAATATATATATGAACAAATTTGACTATATCAATAAACAAACTATAAATGAAAGGCTTAAATGCACCATTGCCCCCTGAATTATACCGTTTGTATCGAGTTGTCCATTAAAGTATTTTTCGAAACTTTTTCCCCCTAAAGTTTAAGTCGTTACCTCATTTGCCCCAAACTATTAACTTAGTTAAAAAACACATGGGTAAATTACATATTTAGTCACTTAACTATTTATGCGGTTCTATTTGAGTTACCAAACTATTTTTTTTTCAAAATCATCACTAAACTTAAGTTTTTGTTACATTTTGGTCATCCAATTTAGTTCAATTTATTTTTTAAACTTTTAATGTATAAGAATTCATTTATATTATTATTTTCACCCAACACATAAATTTAATTTACAACAATAAATAATATTATAAGGTAATTAATAAACAAACTATTAAATTGTATGTAACTAAAATTATATTATTAATTATTTAATTAAAATATCATAAACGAGAATAGCACTACGTATGACGAAATACTGATCACCTTAATCCCATGTAGCCCAATCTATTTGCTTGTCGATCTCACATACATCATCAACAACACTATAAAAAATTTATGAGTATAAAATATAAAAATCAATTTTTTTGAAGTTATGAGATTTTATTTTGAAATTAAAAATATATTAATTATGTTTTAAAAAAATTAAATTGACATATTTAGAAAACCTATAAAATCCCTAATCTCTCATTTTTCCTCTTATTTCTTTCCTATCATTTATTCCTCATATTTCACTGACATTCACCATCGCTTGCACTATCTACATCGCCATTGATTGACGTCTTTAAGTTTTTTTTAAAAAAAAAACTTTCTTCTCTTGAGGTATATTTATTTTTACTGGTTTAGTTGTTTCTTTTTTCAAATATTTTCCTATTTTATTTGAATTGTTTGGAAAACGTAGATCTTGCCATGGGAAATCACTTGCAAAAGCCATGATTCCATCTTTTTCTGGGGTGGATTTCTTTAAAATTTGGATGCAACTTTAATAGTTATTTTTTGCTTAAATTTTGGTTTGGTTTCAAAAAAAAATTGTTGTCAATTTTATTATTTATTATTTACTTTATATATTATTTACGTTACATATAGCTTAATATATTATTTATTATTCATTGTATAGTATTATTTATTATTACAAATTAAATTTATATGTGGAGTAAAAAATATGATATAAATGAATTATTATATATTATAAATTTAAAAAATAAAGTGAATCGAATTGGGTGACCAAAACGTAACAAAAACTTAAGTTTAGTGATGATTTTGAAGAAAAAAAGTTGGATAACTCAAACAAAACCGCATAAATAATTAAGTGACTAAATATGTAATTTTTTCACTTTTTTTTTAATAGAATTAATGATTTAAGAGAAATAAAGTAACGATTTAAACTTTATGGACAAAACATCTTAAAAAATACTTTAAGGAACAATTCAATATAAACGATATAGTTTAGAAGTTAATGGTGCATTTAAGCCAAAATGAAAATAAAACTATTGAAAGACAAACTACACATTAGAACAATAGTGAATAGTAAGTAGGGAGTGATAATAAAATAAAATTGGGGCTTACCTTTTAATCACCGCAATTATAATATATACAAACCCTTTCTCTCTCCCTCCCTTTCTCACACCCTTCGTCCTCAACAAACCAAATGAAACTTCTGGTCGTCCATTTCCTCTACAAATGAACCCTTTCCTTCTTTCCCTCCACCATTAAACAAAGATTAACATGGGCAAAGCTTCCAAGTGGTTCCGCAGTATTCTCGGTCTAAAAAAACCCGACCCTCACAACCAACCTTCTTCTTCTTCCCCCAAATCACCCCATAAAGACAAACGCCGTTGGACTTTCGTCAAATCCTACCGCGAAAAGGACTCCACCAACAGCAGCGGAAACGATAATGTCAACTTACCGTCGTCGCTAAACGGGCGTCAGCGGCAACCGAAAGACTCTGTTTCTGTAGTTGAAAGGAAACGCGGGTGTGAAGTAGAGGATCCTAACAGGCACGCCATAGCTGTTGCTGCCGCTACCGCCGCCGTTTCCGAAGCGGCAGTTGTTGCCGCTGAAGCTGCCGCAGCGGTGGTTAGGCTCACCAGTAGCAGTGGCAGGTGCGCGCGTGAACCGACAGCTCACATTAGCAGCAGCAAAGAGTTAGCTGCGCTTAAGATACAATCCACATTTCGTGGATACCTGGTTAGTTTCCTTTCCTCCCTAGTTTCTTCATCTTTTCTACCAGTTAATCTGCTCGTCTTTTCAATTACTGCTTGATTTTGATGAAAATTTTCTGGGATTAACAAATAACAACCAGCTTGACATGTGTTGTCGGTGCTCGTTTTAATCACCCGACTTCCGATTCCAAGGCGTTGAACCTTCCTTTGATTTTCTTTAGTAAAAAAAACAGAGCACGAAAACATGTATTGTTCCCACTACTTAATTTAGTTAATCTACAACATTCGCATTAACAAACGTCGTCGTTTTGAAGTTCGTCCTCCTTCCCCGTCAAGTGGTAGCTAAAGAAACTACCTACCGACCTTCCATTTTCTTACGCCTGCGTTGTTTCTCTCATGTCGTTTATCACCAGAAAAGAGAAAAAGCATTACCATTTTTAAATTACAATAAAAACATGTATGTATGTATGTGTGCGTGCGTATGTCGTTGCTATGCTCTCCTCCCCAGAAAAAAATTACCCTGCATGATCTCTGCCAATATTATCTGCAAACTTTTACTTTAGAAAGTTTTTTTACTATTTCATAGTCATGGTTGACCAAAGAGCACCCCTCCCCATACAAAAAATATCCCTGTTTGATCTCTTCCAATATCTTCTTACTTTTACTTTAGAAAGTTTCCCTACTATTTCAGTCATGGCGATTCCAAGCATTTAGTTGGGCGGTGGAGACTTTAGTTTATGAGGTTATTGGGTGATTGAGTAACTACATACTATTTCTGGGATTCTTTTGGTAACCTTTCGTTGTGTAGTACTAGTACCTTAGGGTACATTTGGTTTACAGAATGTAAGATTATCAGAGAATATGATTACTGTGAATGTTGTATTTTGTGTTTGGTTGGTTTAGCAGGAATGTAAAATTACCGTGTTTGGTTAAAGAAATATAAGATTATTGAAATGTATATTTGATCAAATTATCTTTATTCTATATCTGTTTTTTAACAAGTTGAAAAATATTTATATATTTTCTTTTAAAAAATTAAATTCATAAAATTTATATTTTAGTTTACAAAATTGAAAATATAAAAAGGTTTAATGAAAGGGTAAAATTTTATTTTAACTCCTAAACTGCATATAAAATTTTAATTATAAACTTTTTTATAAATCTAAAATAGTTTAAGGATAAATTTATAATTTAATCTTCGAAGAATTTTTATTATTCAATGACAGAAGAAGAATATTTTTGGAAAAAAAATTAAGGGCATTTTAGTCTAAAACGCCGGTAATCCAACAATACCTAAGGAAAGGGAGGTAATGACATTCCCGGTAATATACCCCAAAAAATATACTATTGATAATAAAATATTATCGAGAATGAGATTCCCAGCCAACCAAACATGGAAATGTAGATTTCATTCTCATGGGAATCTCACATTCTTTGATCCAAACACCCCTTAAAGTATAGTAAGTTGAGAGAATGATTTAATTTTGGGTGGCAAATAATGTTGATTAGTTAGTTTTATTTGTGTCTAATTGTTGAAACCTTTCAAGGGAAGTCCAACTACTCTTGTGCCAGTCTCAATAATTTATTATCTTACCAAATAAAGAATCAGCTCAATTTTCAGCATTTTCTGATCACAAGACTTTGAATGCAATGGAACCTTTTCTGAGATTTGGATGATCATATCTTTGGGTTGAACTCTTCTGGGTAATTGCAAAATTTGTGATATCTGGAAGGGGTGGGTCCAAAACCATTGAAAAAGTTTGTCGTGGGTAGGGGTGCTTATCGAGCGAGTTGGTCAGTATTCAATTCGTGCTCGTTAAAAAAAATTGTTGCTTGGCTCGACTCTTTGCTCGTTAAGCTCGTTAAATTTTTGCTCGATTTATGGTCATTAAAAAATCTCGTTGCTCGACTCGCTGCTCGTTAAGCTCATTGCTCGTTAAACTCATTGAAATTTTATCTTGTTTTTTAACAATAAATAAAATCTACTAATATTATATAGAACTTAATATAAACATAAATTAATAGATTTAATAAAAAATTATCAAAGGAATGTATGAAACAATTTTAAAGTCTAAACTTCAAAGCAACAATTCACAAATACATTAAATAATAATTAGGGTTTTATTTGGGTGTAGTAAAATAATAATTATTAATTAATAATTTATATTTATATTATTTACTAGAAAATTAATAGATTAGTAATTTATCATGTTTTTTATCTATCAGTAAATTAGTAATTTTTAAAATGAAATAATTTTTTAAGATAATTACTAAAATTATAAAAAAAATTAACGAACTGCTCGCAAATTTATCGAGTCGAGTTGGACTTTGTTCGACTCAACTCGTTAAGATCTCGAGTTGAGCTCGAGTTCGAGTTAAGTCAACCCGAGTTAAGTTTTGATAGAGTCGAGTTCGAATTACTCACGAGCTGTTCAACTCATTAAACACATGAGCTGTTCAACTCATTAAACACATGAGTTGTTCAACTCATTAAGCATCCGTACTTGTGGGCAACACTGAAGATATATGTGACAGAGCTTTTGAAAGGTTGAAAACCTGTGTTTTTATGTTAAACCCTTAATTATATTTTAAATCTCGTTTATCTAAAGTAACCAAAATGAATTTGTATGACTTTTTGGAGATTGTTAAGCATAATTAGGAAGCATTTGCTGGGGGTATGCGGTCCTTTCATATTACATCAGATTTTTTTATTGTTTTGGGAAAATCCAGTACTACTGGTATACTAATTACTATGACTATCTATCATCTTCATGGCGCCTGTGAGCTTTTAAATTTTTCATGCTGCTAGTACTTGGTTTTCAACATTTCCCATGGCGCCAGATTTTAAAAACATAATAAATTTGTTTATTTAATGGTTCAATGTGGTCCTGGTTCCTTGTTTTTGAACCATGGGTTGCCAGGCCTTTGTGAACGCCCTTTTTTCCTGGGCAGCTACCTCCTTGCCTTTTTCAGTTACTTTTATTGTTTCTGCTGCATTAATATGATTACATGATGCTATTTACTTGATAGAAAATGGAGTATTTTGCTGATAACATGATTATAATGAGTATTCATTCACCCTAGGATGTTTTTGTCAAATGATCTTGATTGCTTGCCTAATTATACTTTTTTTTTTATGTTGTAACCTATGTAGGCAAGAAGGGCATTGCGAGCACTAAAAGGGTTAGTGAGGCTTCAAGCATTGTTTAGAGGTCATATAGAGAGGAAAAGAACTGCAGAATGGCTAAGAAGGATGCAAGCATTATTGAGAGCACAAGAACGTGCACGTGCTGGCAGGACTCAAATTTCCGAGTCTTCACAATTGAGCTGCAAATCTTCGCAATTCCATCATAAGGTAATGGCCGGAATCTGTTCTTCCCTCCCTCTCTTGAAATTTCTCAGGGGAATTTTTTCTGCAAAGTACACCTGCTTGCTTCATGGACTGTGGGCTCCTTTACTTTAAACCTATAGACAACTTTTAATGCTCATGAAAGAATTTAAGACTTTTAAGTGAAGTCGGTTGATGCTTGATAAAAGTAAAGTCAACTCTGCAGAAATTATGACAGGTTGTTGTGATGCATCCATACATGAATCTCTGAGTAAATAATATACACATACATATAGTTTTATACTAAAAAAATAAATTTTCTTTGAAGAAAACTTGGCCAAAATTATGGGACCATCTTTTAACATAGAAACTGTCATTTTCTTGGAGGTGCATGTTGATTACCACTAATGGTGAACTGTCATCTTATATGTTTATCTTTTAAGTGTTATGATCTTGAAACTTATTTCTCAAAGGCAATTTGGTGTGCATAATTATCAGTTGGATTGGTTGGATTTAATGCATGTGCACCTTTTTCCTTGCACATTAAATTGATGTAAGCCTGTCTACTTTGCAATTGTCGGTGGCCATGAAATATTCTTCTTTTGTGTAGGATCCAGCAACTCCTGAAAAGTTTGAGCATGAAATTCGGTCTAAGGGTACAAAATATGAACAATCATCAATGCTGAAGGTATGGTCTTCACATCTGTCTGAACATGGGAGTTTTAAATTTCCAAGGGAGCTTTGTGTGTACCATTTGGCATTTGCTTAATAAACTTTTTCATCAGAGAAATGGGTCGAAGTCGAGCGGAAGGACTGTTGATAATCATGAGAGATTACAACCGGGTTGGCATCGCCGGAGTGATGAACAATCATGGGACCGACGAATGCATTCAACAAGAATTAGTCCTAGTGATGACGAAAAGAGTGACAAGATCCTCGAGGTCGATACAGGGAAATCCAACTTCATATCTAAACGAAGAAACCTGCTTCACTCAACACACCTTGCCCTGAGTTCTGATCTATGTAGCTGTAGTTTCACTAATTCTAGAGACTCTCACCAAGCAGTACCTAGTCTTTCATCTGGTGAAGTTCAGTCTTTAACTCCATGGAAGTTGTCTGACGCAGTAGAGGAAAGCCCTTACTGCATTGCTGCTGATGATAATAGTCCACAATTCTATTCCGCATCTTCGAAAGGCGGTGGTTCTAAGAGAAGCCCTTTCACATCTGCAAAGAGTGACGGGTCAAGAAGCTATCTAAGCGGTTACTCCGACCACCCGAATTACATGTCCTACACTGAATCATCAAAGGCTAAGGTAAGGCCATTTAGTGCCCCAAAACAAAGGCCTCAATATGAGAGATCCAGTTCAACAAAAAGGTATTCCATTCATGGTTTTGGTGAAATGAAATCAAATACAAAGAGGTCATCCCTGCATGCAAATTTCGCCAGCAAAGCCTACCCTGGTTCAGGTCGCTTGGACAGGCTAGGAATGCCTGTTGGATATAGATACTAAATAATGGTTTGGCGCATGAGCATGCACCTTGGTGGTGTATCATATATTGCTAACTAAGCTAATTAAAGTCTTTTCACCATTTTGGTTAAGGCATGTTTAGGTTTAATGAGGGCCCTGACCTAGCTAAGCTACTGTATGCATCTTTTATGGTTTAGTGCATGTGACTTCCAGGTTTAAAAGAAAATGGGGTTTAATCATCATACTTGTTATTTTATCATCATACTTTGTTATTTATCCTTCTTTTTACTATTGCTTTTTAATCAGAGGTGATTAAACTAATGCAAGGTTTGCTTGCTGACAAAACTATAAGGGGGTGTTTGGTTCAAGGATTGTGGCATTCTCATAGGATAGGAATCCTAAATTCCTATGTTTGGTTGATCGGGAATCTATTTCCCGGTAATGTTTTATTACCGATAGTAGATTTTTTGGGGAATGTCATTACCTTCCTTCCCTTAGATATTATAATATTATCGGGGTTTTGGATTAAAATGCCTTTAAATTTTTATTTTTTTTCAAAAATATATTTTTTCTGTCATTGAATAATAAAAATTCTACGAAGGTTAAATTACAAATTTATCCTTAAATTATTTTAGATTTATAAAAAAATCTATAATTAAAATTTTATATGAAGTTCAGGGGTTAAAAAAATCTACCCTTTCATTAAACCTTTTTTATATTTTTAATTTTATAAAAAAATTATATAAATATTATGAATTTAATTTTTTAAAGAAAATATATAAATATTTTATAATTTTTAATATTATACAAATATATAATAAGGATAATTTGGTTAAATATACATTCCAATAATCTTTTATTCCTTTAACCAAACACGGTAATCTTACATTCCTGCTAAATCAACCAAACACAAAATACAACATTCCCTGATAATCTTTTATTCCCACTGGTAATCTTACATTTCGTGAACCAAACGCACCCTAAAGAATTAGCTAAACTATAGTTGTTAAAGCTTTGTCTTTTTTTTTAATTAATTTGGGGGTAGGGGTGAGCTTCAATCGAGTCGAAGTCAAGTAAAAAAAAATCGAATTATTCAAGTTAGCGAGTCTTATTTTATAATTCGAAGTTGATTTGAAATTTTTTCAAGTTGAGAAGAGTCAAATTTTCGAGTTTCTGTTTAAATTTGATTATAAATATTTATAATATTATCATATTATTTGATTCTATTTTAAATGAGTTTTTTTATTACCATATACAAATATATATTATTTCATATTTTTTTCACATCTAATATAAATATATTATAAAAAGTCAATAGACTTGACTTAAACTTAAAATCAATCAACTAATTATTAAAAAATTTGAATTACTATTCGAGTTATTTGAGTTGTGTATTTTACAATCGAGTTGATTTGAATTTGAAAATTTTTCGAGTCGAGTTTTACTTAACCTTAATATGGGAGTAGATACAAGGTAATGTTTGTTTAAAAATAACTTTTTACCATTGGATATTGAGCATTCATGTTCTTGGCATTTATGTGCTCGAACACGAAACCTCATAAAATAATAATATTTTTTTATCATATAGATGTCTTAGTTCGTCAAATTTTATCATTTTAAATAGTAGAAATCATATTTGACAACTGGGAAGTAAGTGAAAAACGTACAGAATTTTAAATTTATGAAAGCAACAAGCCCCCACTTGGATTATGTGGGGGTAGGAAATTAAATATTTAGGCGGTAGTGATGTCGGTGGTGTGCTAAGTTTCACAAACATAACATTTCAGTCATGTAGTTATGTCGTACGATATTGAATAGGATAATTTTTAGATAAATAGTCTTTTCTAACATAGATCACATAGATCTCAAATTAACTCGTCATGAAGTTAAACCACATTGACTAAAATTTTTTTATCAATTCATTAGTCGATCCCACGGTAATTTATCTAAATAGACAAATCACATATTAATCTCAAACAATAATATAACCCTAAAGCCTAAAATACTCTTGGAAGGAAGATCTCGTGGGGCATAACGGATGTTAGGTTGCAACCCTACTCCTCAACCAAGAGTGTGATATAGGACCCACGAGCCCTAAACCATCCCTAGATATAATCCTAGAGAGATATCGTACCGTCCACTTGATCTCGATTCTCGTACACCTAAGCTACACATGAGCCTAGAAGAAAGTCGCTTGCACTATAGTAGCTCCAAATGCTAGCTCAGAGTGAGGAAATAGTGAAGACCCAACATCAGTTCACTTTCCCCTAAAGAGCTAAAAATATTTACCAGTTATGACACCAGTAGACGTTGGAACGTCTGAAACTAGGCCATCCCCTTGACAGGCCTTCCATTTCTATTCTTCAAGCTTTTCTCTTGACTCACGATCGTATCTACTCGGTCTATCATCATGTTATTGTCAGGGTAATTTCATGGAAATGAGGCGTCCCTGACACTAAACTGACCTACAAATTGAAGATCCTGGTCATATTACGCTCTCACACAGGTATTACAGAGGAGGAAGTCAAAATATTACACTACTAACTTTGAAATGTCTTTATACTCTATAAGTGAACAAGAAATTGAATAAATAAAAAATAAAATTTAATAGTAATATTTAAATGTTTGAAAATTAGTGGATGCGTCGGAATTTGCATGTTAATGAGGGGAGGTTGGCACCGGGTGGCATCTGATACGTGCATGTTCATCTAGGGATGGGCATGGAAGCCGAATCGGGTGGGTTTTGATCCAACCCGACTTGACCTGATCGGGTTAGATTTATTTTAAAAAAATAGGTTCGGGTCGGATCGAGTCGATTTTTTTTAAATGTGATATTCAGGCCGGGTTAGATTTGGGTTTAGGGTAAAAATATCTGACTTGAAAAAAATATAATTTTACCTTATATATTTAAGAATAATTACAATAACACCCCTCTATATATTATTTTTTTTAATTAAGTCACTGTTTTATTGAATAAAAATAATTTTTTTACTATTTCGAGTCGGGTAGGGTCGGATTCGGATTTTCTCTCAAAAAATCGGGTCGGGATCGGGTCACATATATTTTTCGGGTCGGATCAGGTCGGGTGAATGATACAAAAATTTCGGGTCGGGTTGGCCAAAACCGACCCATGCCCATCCCTATATTCATCGACTCATCAATCAGTCACCAGTCTATCGATCATTCACCTACCGATTGAAATAAATAGATGTTGGTATTTAAGGATTTAGGGTTCAAATTTAGGAATTTTGAGGGTTCAAAATCAAGATTAACAGTAATTGGTGGGTGAATAAATGGGAGTCATTGTGGGTGACAATGACGGTCAGGTGGAGTAGATACTTTAGGATTAAGAATTTGTTATTTTTTTTATTTTAGAAACTTTTTGCGAAATTTGAAAAAATAATAATTTTTTTTTAATTTTATTAAAATACCACCGGTCACATTCTAAATGGTTGATAATTTATTTTTAACATCTGTTACGATTGAGACACATCAATAATATCATTAAAAAATGTTAGACATGTATATAAACATATAGCAACTCGAAGAAATTAACAAATTAATAAAATCGTAAAGAAATACATTCTTGATTCTTCAAAAAGATTTTTTTTAGAAACTCATGATATCATATTGATATGTGATACAAATTAATAATAGAGAAAATAACCTCAGTGACCGAAAATGTCTTATAATATACGATTTTAACCAACTTTTTTTGGATTTGCCAAAATGACCAACAAATTTGCAACGCGATCTCCAATTTTGCAACCCAGTTTCTATTTTCGCAACGCGAATTTGTAAATCGCAACACGGAAGTCAAATTTGCAACGCGATAGTCAAATTTGCAACACAAAAGACAAATTCGCAACGCGAATTTGTAAATCGCAACACAGAAGTCAAATTCGTAACACAAAAGTCAAATTCGCAACGCGGAATTTCAAATTCGCAACTGAATTTCAAATTTGCAACACGAATTTAATTTCGCAACAGGTTTTAGTTTTGCAACACAAATGTTTTGGGTATATAACAATGCAGCAACAATAACTCATAACCTAAATCCCTAAATCGCAACTCATTCCATCTTCATCTATCACTCTTTTTGGCGACATCCGTTCCTATATCCAACGACATCCTTCCCCATCTCTAATTTTTTTACATAATTTTATTTCTATATAATTTTTCAATGATTTCTCTCCCAAATTATCAATTATCAACTTAATAAAGGTATGTTTTTCTCTAAGTTAGTGATGATATCTAGTTTATAGCTCGTTTGTTTAGTAAATTAATTTACAATTTGTAGAATGAAATCATCTAATGTTGATCATGTTTGGATAGATTTGTGTTTTGGAGGGTCATGGGAGAATGTTCATGGTGTTTTACAATATGTTCCTTTACCCATGAATCTTCAACTAAAACTGTCATTAAAAAAGTTAACTTATGAAACTCTAATGTTACGTGTTGCAAAGAAATTGAATTTAGAACCTCTAAGTGGATTTAGGTTATCTTATCAGAGAAAATGTAAAGTTTATTTGTTAACCGACAATGAAGATGTTGAACGATTCATTGCTTACATTAGTGTTTCGCAAGAAGATGGTGTTACATTGTATGTTGTTGAACCTAGAAGTAGTGAAGTTGGGTCAGTAGCGGGTAGTAATCAACTAAGTTCTTCAACCCAAAATTTAATGGTTCCACCACAATTTCATCACCAAGCAAATTTTGTTTCACCACATTTACAATACCAAACACAATATCAAACACAATCTCAAAACCCACAACCTTTTCCTAATCCAAATCCCAATCAACTTTCAGCACCAAATTCCAATTTTTGTATTGACCAGTTAGACGATTATGAGCCAACAGAAAAAAATTATGAGTACTAGTCAGTATTCGAAATTTGATCTTGGTCAATACCCGGACTTTGATCTTGGTCAATACTCAGATTTTGATGATGTGATGGAAGAAGAAACAGACCTTGCATGTAATGATTTTGATATTGGTCAATACCCAAATTTTGATAATGAAACAGCCATTGCCGAGGAAGATGTTGTTGATGATAATGAGGAGGAAGTTACAACTGTGAAT